GTGAGAAACAGTGTTGAGAGCTCAGCAGACAGTTTAAGTTTCACTTTCATCCGAGAGCCTGCAAGAGTCATGGGCGGGGTGTGTGGGGAGGGGGGGCGCGCCGCCATGAGAAAGTTTGGCTTAAAGACACGTCCCAGGGGCGTTTCTGGTACCAAAAGGCGTTTCTGGTCCCCACCTGTTGTTTTGCTCCTCAGCATGGCTTCCTAAAAACGCTGCAGGATTTCTCAAACATGCATGAATGAGTCACAGCAAGGCTTTGGGCATGTTTTTTTATGAGTTTATAACATTATAACATGATACAAAACTCAAAACAGTTGATTTTACATGATATTGCCCCTTTAAACAAATGAATGATTTAAATGTGAAAAAGAATTTAAAAGCAGGATATGTCTCCTTTAAAGTCATCTCCATCTTTCGGTGATTGTTTTTAACCTAAATCTGACCTTTGTATTCAAATATACAGCTTTATTAATTTATTTGATTTTCATTCTGTCCCTTTTTTATCTGTAGCATACAGCGTCGACTGTCTTTGCAGCTTCCCATCCTGCACCATGCCTACTTACCTTCCATAGGAGGGGTTGATGCCAGCTGCACCAGCCCAAACGGAAGCCCTGGTTCCAGTCCGAGGCACAGACACATGCCCCCCTCCTACCGCGTAATGGTCTCAGGCCTGTGAGCTTTGTTCCCTCTCCCACCTGGTTCTGTGCAGACGAGACACAAATGGTTCTTATTTTCTACAAACTCAATGGACTGATATCATCAGCGTCCGTGCGTATTTCGTCTTCGACTGAACAGAGTGAGGAGGAGAGGACAACATTTTTTGCTCTTCATACGTCTGCACCCCAGTCTAACGAGAACTGATCATGTCAGTCGTGAAATGGTGGTAGAAGACAGGCAACCCTTAAAAAAATTCCTGTTAATTAACATCCTCGTGATCATCTTCCCCTTGCCTAGGCCTATACATATTTGCACAGTCAGACACAGACAACACAGATACACACTAATGCACAAACATCGTGACACCCCAACAGCTGCGGTGGACCAGCCCTGATCTGACGTGTAGCCTTATCTACTTCAGAGGGGATTGTTTGTTTTGTTTTGTTGATTTATTTATTTTTTTATCTGTTGTATGTACTCTGTGCTTGCGGCTACATGTGAGCTTGTCATCTATCTTTAGCATTTCACTGCTTTAGAAACTGGATTTTGGTTTTGGGAAGGAGGAATTTGCAAGATCCTACTTTGTGCAGACATGTAAATATCATCGTCCCTGACATTGATGTACTGTAAGCTTTGAATATGCTGTGAATGGACACTTTGAAAGGGTTTCTACATGCGGACCTTTGCAAGAAAATGAGGTAGACGTCAAAATCGCAAATGAAAACGCGGAATTCTCCAAATCAGACACACGAGATACAAATTTGCTCATGTAGCTCTTATTATAATTGGCTTATAGGCAGAGATAAGGCATCAAAATAAAAAAAAAGCTTCAGGTTCCAATCGTCTGACCTGAACTGAGATGCACGTCGCTCTTTTTTCCACTTTGCTAATTTTTTACGAATAATTTACATCAGAAACCTCATGTCATTGCAAAAGCATTCATATTTTACAACTTGATTAATTTGTCTTTAGAACGCATGTTTTACAAAATATTGATGCTATGCCTTTTAACAGGTCTCCTAGGCTATAAATAAATATATACATATATATATTAGAAAATAGAGCAAAAAAAGAGTTTTATTTTTACGTGTCACATGCCGGGAAATGTGCAAATACAGGTGCAGACATAAAATCAGAAAGAGCACCTTATGAAATTAAGTGTTCTTAGAATTAAAGATGAATAAGGTCGCATTTAAACCTACAGCTCGGTCGTAATAGACTACAAAGATGTCCGTCTGATCTAGTCCTCACAGCTTACCAGCACAGTTTAAGGTGATATGGGGGGGGGGGTGTCAGTGGCACAAAGTTACAAGACTTTGAAATGAGACGAAACAAAATGAGATGGTGGGAAAAAATGTAGGTCTACCAGTTAGTCAGTTAAACTGGGTCTAATGGTTAGCCTGAATTTCCGTGCACAGCCGTAATGACACGTGGAGGTCTCGTGTGATCAGCCCCGACTGACTGTAGCTTCAGTTTTATGGCCGCCACCGCTGGTCGCAGCGATACAGCACAAACACAGGGCTTTTCTTTCACGGACAACACCGAGTATCCTGAGAAATCTCTGTACGCTTAGCAACAGCGAACATACCTCAGTTGCTGTGGAAATGTACATCGGTGCCACTGAGCTTGACCCAAACAGGGCTGCGTTGAGCACAACGGTCTTTGAGAGTCTTTTTTTTTCATAAAACTTTTGCTAACGCAGGAGAAAAGCCGGGAGGGAGACTTGTTTGGAGTGAGAAGGTTCGTTCTCAGCATATTGTTTCACCATTGGTGTCTTGGTTTTTATTTTTTAAGGCGTTTTTTTAAACGCTGTGCCTGTTGTCTTATATTGTAGCCTGCAAGGCCCACACTACATACGCAAGGGTCAGAACTGCCCAGCGAGGTACATTGGCCGCACATCTGTAAAACTGTACAATGTGTTATAGATCAGTTTCTGTTCCACGTTTCGATGAAGGGGACCGTTCCGGGAGGACACGGCAAGAGCTTCACTTTCCTATGGAGGATATTTCTCCTGCAAGCTGGTTTCTGAACATAGACGCTGTCAAACGGTCTTCGGTTGAGAAGCATTCGGAGCCGGAGCGGTGGGAACCCGAGCGAGCAGACACTAAACTGCGGTCGGACGTATTGAGAGGGGGCGACTCCTGCTGAGAGCTCCTCCCCCTTCCAGGCCCGGCCGCCGCACAGGAGCAGGGAAACCCCCAGAGCACAGACCTCCAAAGGAGCCACAAACCTCTCCTGCACCTTTGACAACCCAGAGGATCACAGTCACAGAGGATGTGAGTTGGGAGACGTTATCAGAGGGTTGGTTCTTCCTCCAGGAGAAACAAAAACCAACCACGCATTTTATATATTACATTATATGTGATTGTGTACAATTTGCTGATACCCTGATGATGGTGTCCATGTATGGAGTATTTGGTATTTGGCTTTCTCAAGATGGCATGAAATAAAAAATGTATAATTCACAGAGTTACCTCTGTTTTTGCAACTGTTGTGATAAATCCACTCTGTTGTTCCATCGTCTCATCTGCAATTTGGTTGTTTGATTTCTTTTCTTACAAGTTCTTTTCACCTCTCGATCAGTTCGCACATGTCGATGCCAAGATTCTCAGTGGACAAACATCCTTTTATCAAACATGAAACTAGTTAAGCACCTGTTAACTGAGGGCAATAAAGTGAAGGTAGCAGCTATTGATCAATCTTAGACCACTTCCTGTAATTGATCAAATTACTTTTGTTATTTTTTCTTTTGTTTGTTTTTTTCCCCCCTAATCAATCCAAAATGCCAAATACAGATCATCAGATGTCAATGCTGGTTTACTTTAATGTGTCCTATTTATTGTTTTGTAACTCATTTTAGTTCTAATAAATGGGGAAAAAAAAGTTCAAATGCAATTGTGGTGGGTCAAGGGCTCATACTATCCTGTAATAACTAATTAACTAATGTCATGCTGATGGTTTGTATTTACCACAGGCCTTTTTACTCTTTTTAGTTTGAAGATCAAAGTGACATATATAATATCTTTGTGCATTTCATTGTCGGGTTTTCTGGAGAACACAACATACACATGCAGAAATATAACTATATTAAAATATATAAAGTGGAGACACAACAAAAAGGTCCATACTGTTACTGTTTTGTCATTTTGATATGTGGTTCCACATGGCATTAAGTTGAATTTAAAACTTTAATACGGTGAATAAATCCTATAACAAATGCAACATGTTCAAGAGGGGCAATAACTTGTTTTCTTATTATGGAAAGAATAGAGAATTATATAAATATAAATATATGTATATGTAAAGATCTTTACGTACATTCTCATTTTTACATAGGAAACATTTCACAAATACTCCACGAAGGTTCTTTGAAGTCTTTTTTTATTTACAGTATCTGTAACTATGTTATGTACATATCAGGTCTAGATATAAAGAAGTTGTATAAAATAAATATCACACTGGGAACACCTGAACTTTTTTGAGCCATTAGTTGTTATGAGAGGGGAGGGGATTTGAAAAATAAATTTTATTTATTTTTTTGTTGTCTGAATGTTATGGACAGCCTTTACTTTTCACATCATCGTTAAATAAAGTGTTACTGAAAATGACTTTTTTTTTCTTGCCTGGATGTTTTTTTAATCTTCACCAATTGTGTAAAGTTAAAGTTTGTTCTGAGTTTGCCAAGACCACATTGGACAATACCCCCAACTACAAAGTCAAAAATCAGCCCGAACCTGGACGTTCTTTGAAGCGTCTATTAGTTAAACCTCAATTTTGGTTTGAAACCTCAAATTCAAAAAATTGTCGCCTTAAAGTGTCATAGTCTGTGTTTATTTCTCAGTTTTCCTAGTGTTTTCTATGTTCCCCAGTGTGTCTTTGCCCAGCTGCCCC